TTTATTCTGAACATATATTTAATAATTAACTTACCCCTCTTTTTTTTTTTTTTTTTTTACAATGCTGAGGATCAGGCTTGGGTCCTTGCACATCATAGGCAAGTACCTTAGCACTGAACTGTACCGTCATCCCCATAGTATGGATTTATTCTGAACATATATTTAATAATTAACTTACAGATATGTTGCTCATTAATTAAAAAGCAATCAAAATAATATATTTACTAAGTAGATATTGATAGTTATTTTTGTTAATTCATGGTTGAAGAAAACACTTGCCGAGCAATTTAGAAGATTGTAGAAGCATGTCAGTGTGTGTAACATTGAATTTTGGGGTCCTAATCTGAGAGATTCTCTTCCATACTCTTTGTATCTTTGAGAGGCAGTGCTGAATGTTGATTAAATGCCTAGAGCCTATTCATCTGGGTTCACATGGGCTCCACCCATTCTCTCACCATGTAACCTTGGCCAAGCCACTTGGTATTTAGCTCCCTTAATATTCTCTGCTGTAAGATGGGATCCCAAAATAGTACCTGTCCTTAGAACTGTTAAAAGGAGTGCACATCTGCGCACTACCTGGCACGTGATAAGCACAGTTTGTTTGTTTGTTTGTTGGTGTGTTTTTTTTGTACCAGGGATTGATTGAACTTGGGACCTTGCACTTGCAAGGCAGGCAGCAGACCAACTGAGCTAAATCCCCGGCCCTAGTTTTTTAGTTCTTACTACTCTTAAAATTATTTGTAAACATTAATTTTTTTATTATTTAGAACTGCACTGTCTAGTATGGTAGCTACTAGCCACCTAAGATACTGAGCACTTGAAATGAGACTAGTCAAAATTCAAATGTACTGTAACTGCAAAAGATACACCAGATTTTTAGGACTGGGGATTTAGCTCAGTGGTTCCAGTGCCTGCTACACAAGCGCAAGGTCCTGAGTTCAATCCCTGGTAACAAAAAAAAAAAAAAAAAGATACACCAGATTTCGAAGGTCTTCTATATAAATAAGAACGTAGAGTATCCTGTTGATAAATTCATACTGATTACATGTTGAAATAATCTTTTTTTATCCGTTGGGTCAATGAAGTATATTATTAAATTATATATGTGACTTGTGTTATCTCACTGTTGGATAGTGCTAAGTCAGATAGAAATGTCAGCATAGTTATGATAATTAAGGGAGAGACATGAATCTTTCATTTAATTTGTAAAGTAAAGTGATGATTGTTGGTGAATGCTTTGTGAAAAGAAAATGCTTAAGATAACTTGCCCTATTTGAGGATCAACACAATTAATGCAATTCTAGCTTATCTTATAACATTGTTCTACATGTCCATTTAATTTGATACTTCTCAGCGATTATTTGTGTTCTCTTTTAGTGACAAGTTCACTAGATTTTGTCAGTGGAAAAATGTAGAATTAAATATTCATGTGAGTATCATCTTTTTATTTTTCCTTTCTTAAATTAAAAATTCTTTGGCTTAACCTCATGAGAAAATATTCTGGAGCATACTTCCCAAGGGTACACTGTCTAAACAGATGTCCTCTGTTCAGTTCTGTGTTTTCAAAACCCCTCCTCTCTTGGTCACTGACAGACAATTGGAGTTTTAACTGTTTTTCACTGACAGATGAATGTGCTTATTTACATAAGAAAGGCTATTTTAAGCACTAATTGATTGACCCTTTAACAAAAATAGTAGTCAAAATACGTATCTTCTTAATACAACTTCCATGTCCTTGTCTTTTGCCATTCTTAACAAGTCCCTTTTCTTATCAGTTATGATAACAAAAATTGGATTTAATAATAAAAATAACA